GAGTTGGCAGGTGCTGTGACTCACGCCTGTAGTCCCAACACTTTGGGAGGCCGAGGTGGGCCGATCACTTGAGGTCAGGAGTTTGAGACCAGCCTGGCCAACGTGGTGAAGCCCCATCTCTACTAAAAATATAAAAATTAGCCGGGCATGTTGGTGGGTGCCTGTAATCGTAGCTACTTGGGAGGCTGAGGCAGGAGAATTGCTTGAACCCAGGAGGCGGAAGTTGCAGTGAGCCAAGATTGTGCCACTGCACTCCAGCCTAGGCAACAGAGTGAGACTCCATCTCAAAAACAAAACAACACATCCCGTGAGTCCACAAATGGTAGTCTTGGCAGAAGCACTGCGTGCAAGATAGGCAAACTCTATCCAGAATGTTTCTTTGAGTGAGGACAAACCTCTTCCCTTTCCATGATGGAAGAGTTCCAATATAATTAATCTGCCCCAAGTAGCTGGGTGATCACCTGAGGAATGGTGCCACATTGAGGGTTTGGTGTTGGTCTATGCTCTTGGTAAATTGGGCACTCAGCAGTGTCCATAACCAGGTTAGCCTTGGTGAGTGGAAGTCCATGTTGCTGAGCCCATGCATATCCTCCATCCCTGCCACCGTGGCCACTTTGTTGGCCATGGGCAATGGCAGGGGTGGCTGGGAAAAGAGGCTGAGTGGTGTCAACAGAATGGGTCATACTATCCACTTAATTATTAAACCCCTCCTCCGCTGAGGTTACCCATTGGTGAGCACTCACATGGGATACAAATATCTTCATAGTTTTTGACCACTCACAGAGGTCCATTCATATACCTCTTCTCCAAATTTCCTTGTCACCAATTTTCTAATGATGCTCCTTCCAAGTCCCTGACCATCCAGCCAAACCATTGGCTACAGTCCATGAATCAGTATGTAATCGCACATCTGGCCGTTTCTCTTTCCACCTGGAGAACCAGGTGCACTGCTCAAAGTTCTGCCCACTGGGAAGATTTCCCTTCACTGTTGTCCTTCAGGGATGCCCTAGAAAGGGGCTGTAGTGCTGCAGCTATCCACTTTTGGGTGGTGCCTGCATATCGTTTAGAACCATCTGTGAAGCAGGCCCTAGTCTTCTCTTCCTCTGTCAGCTGATCATAGGGAACTCCCCATGAGGCCATTGGTGCATGCTGGGGAAGAGAAGGCAGGGTGGCAGGAGTGGAGACCATGGGCATTTGAGCCACTTCCTCATGTAACTTACTTGTACCTTCAGGACCTCCTTGAGCCTGACCATGTATATACCACTTCCATTTGATTATGGAATGCTGCTGTGCATGATCTACTTCATGGCTAGATCTGTCAGAAAGAACCCAGTTCATGATAGGCAGTTGAGGTCACATGGTCACTTGATGACCCATAGTCAAACATTCAGTTTCCACCAAAGCCCAGTAACAGGCCAAGGGCTGTCTCTCAAAAGGAGAGTAGTTGGCTGAGTGCGATGGCTCATGCCTGTAATCCCAGCACTTTGGGAGGCCGTGGCGCACAGATCACAAGGTCAGGAGATTGAGACGATCCTGGCAAACGTGGTGAAACCCCGTCTCTACTAAAAATACAAAAATTAACTGGGCATGGTGACATGCACCTGTAGTCTCAGCTACTTGGGAGGCTGAGGTAGGAAAATCACTTGAACCTGGGAAGCAGAGGTTGCAGTGAAACAAGATTGCACCACTGCACTCCAGCCTGGCGACAGCGAGACTCCATCCCCCCACCCCCCCGCAAAAAAAAAAGGGAGATTAGTTATCTGCAGAAGATGGCAGGGCCTTGCTCCAAAATTCTAGAAGTATCCACTGTGATTCACCTATGGGAGCCTGCTAAAGGCTCCAGATGGCATCCCTATCTGCCAATGATACCTTAAGCACCACTGGATCTGCTGGGTCATATGGCCCAGGTGGCAGAGCAACTTGCACAGCAGCCTGGACCTGTTGCAGAGCCTTCTCTTGTTCTGGACCCCACTCAAAACTGGCAGCCTTTCAGATCACTCAATAAATGGGCCGGAATAACACACCCAAATGAGGAATGTGTTACCTCCAAAATCCAAATAGGCCCACTAGGCATTGTGCCTGTTTCCTGGTTGTAGGAGGGGCCAAACACAGCAACTTATCCTTTACCTTAGAGGGAACATCTCAACAGGCCCCATACCACTGGATCCCTAGAAATTTTACGAGATAGAAGGTCCCTGAATTTTTAGTCTGATTTATTTCCCATCCTCTGGCATGCAAATGTTATACCAGTAAGTCCAGTATATTTGCTGCTTATTGCTCACTAGATCCAATCAGCATAATGTCGTCAGTGTAATGGACCAGTATGATATCTGTGGAAGCAAAAAGTGATCAAGGTCTCTCTGAATAAGATTATGACACAAAACTGGAGAGCCAATATATCCCTGAGGTAGGAAAGTAAAGGTATATTGCTAGCCTTGCCCCCTGAAGGCAAATTGCTTCTGGTTGGCCTTATGGACAGAAATGGAGAAAAGGCATTTGCAAAGTCAATGGCTGCATACCAGGTACCAGGAGAAATAGATTGACTAAATTAGGTAAAAGAAAGATGAAGGCTGCTAACTTAGACTTGAAGTAGTCAACCAGGGTATCTAAACAGCTGTCACTCACAGACTTTTCTTCCAGTGTGTAGTCAATATGTTGTCCTTTCCAGCTGTCTTCTTCCTGACTTCTGATTGACCCAACTCTAGTCATGTCCCAGACCCAATAGGGGTAGGGATTGGTTTGTATTGGGAGAGATAGAAGAATAGATCTCTGGGCAAACACAGGTAGTAGCCATTATATTATGCAACTAAGGATCTATTTGACTTGTGTTTACCTTAGCAACATAGCTTATATGTCAGCTTATCCTATGGATTCTCTTGGAGTTTCTATTAGACTCTTTGAAAGCAAGCGTAGTACCTTGCACACTTTATTTCCTAATGTGCTTTGCTTTTGAATGGTGCTCGATTTATTGCAGGCCTTTGGCTCTTTTTTTTTTTTTTTTTTAATTTTTTTTGTGTCAGGGGAGATGGAGTCTCACTCTGTTGCCCAGGCTGGAGTGCAGTGATGCAGCCTTGGCTCACTTCAGCCTCCTCTTCTGGTTCAAGCATTCTCGTACCTCAGCCTCTCAAGTAGCTGGGATTTTAGGCACCCACCAGCATGCCTTGCTAATTTTTGTATTTTTAGTAGAGATGGGATTTCACCATGTTGGCCAGGCTGGTCTCGGACTCCTGGTCTCAAGTAATCTGCCTGCCTTGGCCTCTCAAAGTGTTGGGATTATAGGTGTGAGCCACCGTGCCCGGCCCCTTTAGCTCTTTTTACTACATTATTTCTATATTTTCTAGGCTGTTCACCTATAATTTTGCCTATGGTAGATTTACTTTTTTAACTTTATTTTAGGTTCAAGGATACACGTGAAAGTTTGTTGCATAGGTAAATACATGTCATGAGGGTTTGTTGTACAGATTATTTCATCTCCCAGGAATTAAGCCCAGTACCCAATAATTACCTTTTCTGCCCCATTCCTTCCTCCTACCCTCCACCCTCAAGTAGACCCTGGTGTTTGCAGTTTCCTTCTTTGTATTCATAAGTTCTCATCATTTAGCTCCCACTTATAAGTAAGAACATGTGGTATTTGGTTTTTTGTTCGTGCATTAGTTTTCTGTGGATAATGTCCTCCAGCCCCATCCATGTTCCCCGAAAGGACCTGATACTGTTCTTTTTTATGGCTGCCAGTAGATTTACTTATTAACGTCAGACTATGTAATTAAGAGCCTGGTGGTCTGTAAAAATATACATGACTACAGAGAGGGACTATCTCCCCTAGCTAATTCAGGGAACATGTCTTTTTTTTTTTTTTTTTTTAATGCTGGCAGGACTTAGTAGTTTGGTTGACAGGGCTATCCACAAATGATTCATGAAGAAAAAGGTAACTTACTCCAAGATAAGACCCATATTCACAGTCTTTGATCAAGGAAATTGATTTCATTTGTCTAATAGTAAGGTAAGTATGTAAAGATCTGATTTGAATCTTACTGGCTATAACTTTGGATATATTGATTGTGGGGTTTTTTTGCACCTCACTTTTCTTTTTTCTTTTTTTTTTTTTTTGAAACAGAGTTTCACTCTTGTTACCCAGGCTGGAGTGCAATGGCGCGATCTCGGCTCACCGCAACCTCCGCCTCCTGGGTTCAAGCAATTCTCCTGCCTCAGCCTCCTGAGTAGCTGGGATTACAGGCACGAGCCACCATGCCCAGCTAATTTTTTGTAATTTTAGTAGAGACAGGGTTTCACCATGTTGACCAGGATGGTCTCGATCTCTCGACCTCGTGATTCACCCGCCTCGGCCTCCCAAAGTGCTGGGATTACAGGCTTGAGCCACCACGCCCGGCCACCTCACTTTTCTTATAAATAGAAATGACACAATTGCAATAGCTTTGTCCTGCTGCCACCACCACCCTCCATTTCTGCCAAAATATGAGAAAAGAGTAACTAGCAGTGAGTTACCTTGGGTGAGACTGTCCATTTCTCAGTTTTAATTTTCTCATCTTTCAAATGAGGGAGCCTCTTCTAGCTGTGAAATCTTATATTTTGATTCTTTTGTTTGTTTCAAACAATTGACAAGAGTTTCTAGAAGTGTTTTTTCTGGTTGGGTGTGGTGCCTCATACCTGTAATCCCAGCCCTTTAGGAGGCCGAGGCAGGCAGATCACCTGAGGGTAGGAGTTCGAGACCAGCCTGACCAATGTGGAGAAACCCTGTCTCTACTAAAAATACAAAATTAGCTGGGCGTAGTGGTGCATGTCTGTAATCCCACTTACTCTGGAGGCTGAGGCAGGAGAATCACTTGAATCCAGGAGGTGGAGGTTTCTGTGAGCTGAAATCGTGCCATTGCGCTCCAGCCTGGGCAACAAGAGCAAAACTCCGTCTCAGAGAAAAAAAAAAAAAGGAATGTTTTTTATTTTGCAGTGCTCATTACATGAAACATCTCTTTCCTCTTCACTAGGCAGTTGCAGTGGTGCAGAATGGCTGACCTCAGTCTTGCAGATGCATTAACAGAGCCATCTCCAGAAATTGAGGGAGAGATAAAGCGGGACTTCATTGCCACACTAGAGGCAGAGGCCTTTGATGATGTCGTGGGAGAAACTGTTGGAAAAACAGACTATATTCCTCTCCTGGATGTTGATGAGAAAACCGAGAACTCAGAATCAAAGAAGAAACCATGCTCAGATACTAGCCAGGTTGAAGGTAAGTATTTAAACCAAACTGCTTATATATGTTCAGAAAGTAGGTTATGGATTATGCCGGTGGTCATAATCCTGGAAACTAAGAATAGAGCTGAGTTTTTTTTTTTTTAAGTATACCCTAATAATTATATTTCTTTGTTAGAAACCGACAACTTAACCACCCTTTCAGTGTGTGTTCATGAGTCTATAGAAAACACCCTAATGTTTCTTCTGTAATGTTCCAACTACCATATAATCTGCTTCTTAATTCCCTAAATTAAGCTGTCTGCTGTGCCTTTTCTTTGAAAGTAGCTTTGAAAAGTTAGATAAAATTCTGTGCTTATATCAGAACTTCATTTAGACTGGAATCAGACGCCATTTGTTGTCTTTGGGGTTATCCCAGGTCAAGATTAATTAAAGCCTGTAAGAGAAATTTTCCATTTTCCTGGATCAGATGTGCTAATATGGAGTTGAGGATTTTTGCATCTGTGTTCATGAGGGAATTAGTCTGTAGTTTTCTCATGATGTCTTTTGACAGTTTTAGAATTGAGGTCACAATGACTTTATAAAATGAATTGGGCAATGTTCCCAATATTCTTTCTCTTTTCTAGAATAGTTTGTATAGAATTGATATTTTTTTCTTCTTTTCAGTGTTTGATAAAAATAATCAATAAAGCTATCTGGGTCTGGAGTTTTCTGTCAGATTTTTAAAGTAGGAATTTTAGTGTCTTTCAGAGATCATAGAACTATTCTGGTTATCTATTTCGTACATTAGCTTTGATACTTTGTATCTTTCAAGGAATTCCTTGGTCCATTTTCTTGCATAAATGTTGCAGATTAATGGAGATAAAATTGTACCTTATGCTTTTAATGTCTGTAGGATCTGTTATGTCCCCTTTCATTTCTCATATTAGTCACTTGTGATCCTCCCTCCCTTCCTGGCTCCTTCCCCCCCACCCTTTCTTTCTTTCTTTCTTGATAGAGGTTATCAATTGTATTGAAAGATCCAGCTTTTGGTTTCATTAATTTTTTTTCTATTGTCTTTCTGTTTTTAATTTCTTCTCATATCTTTATTTTTTCCTTTCTTTTGTTTACTTAAATTGATTTATTCTTTTTCTGGTTTCTTAAGGTGGTACCTTATATCAGGTTTTGATCTGAGACCTTTCTAATCTAATTACTTAATGTTATAAATTGCCTTCTAATCACCATTTTAGCTGTGTCCCATGGATTTTTATATGTTGTATTTTATTTTCATTCAAAAATATTTGTATATATTTTCTTTGTGAATTCCTCTTTATGGCTGCCTTTTAAATGTTATCTTTATTTTTGGTTTTTAGCAATTTAAATATGTTGTGTTTAGGTGATATTTTGGAATTTTTCTGCTTGGGCTTCTGAGCTTCTTGATCTGTCCTTTTGATGTGGTTAAGTCTGGGAAATTTTTGGCCATTATATTTAATTTAATTAATTTATTTATTTGAGATGGAGTCTCACTCTGTCACCCAGGCTGGAGTGCAATGATGTGACCTCCGCTCACTGCAACGTCCACCTCCTAGGTTCAAGCAATTCTCCTGCCTCAGCCTTCCGAGTAGCTGGGACTACAGGTGTGCGCTGCCATGCCTGGTTAACTTTTTGTATTTTAGTAGAGACAGGATTTCACCATGTTGGCCAGGATAGTCTCAATCTCCTGACCTCGTGATCCCTCTGCCTTGGCCTCCCAGAGTACTGAGATTACAAGCATGAACCACTGTGCCCAGCCAGCCATTATCTTTTAAAATATTTCTTCTGTCCCATTCTTTTTCTCTTCTCCTTCTGGGATTCCAATTATATTTGTTAAATTGGTAGTGTCCCTTATCTCTTGGATGCAAGAGATCCAGAGAAAATTCACACTTACATTCAGGATTATCTACTGTCATGCTCACAAGAAAGACTGGAGGCAGGGTTGAGGGACCAGATAGAGCCTCCCTCAGTGGTATAGACCTGAAGAAGGCTACCACCATTGAAGGAAAAGGGAGAGAAAAAGGAGTTTTCTGTCCAGTTTTAGAATTGAGGTTACACTAACTTCATAAAATGAATTGGGAAGTACTCCCTTCTTTCTCTTTTCTAGAATAGTTTGTATAGAATTGATTTTTTTTCAATATTTGGTAGAATTTATCAATAAAGCTATCTGGGCCTGGAGTTTTTGGTTAGATTTTTAAAATAGGAATTTAGTTTCTTTTAGAGATTATAGAACTATTGCAGTTATCTAAAAAAGAGAGAGAAAAGAGTTTTTTTTTTTTTTTTTTTTTTTTTTTTTTTTTGAGACAGAGTTTCGCTCTTGTTACCCAGGCTGGAGTGCAATGGCGCGATCTCGGCTCACCGCAACCTCCACCTCCTGGGTTCAGGTAATTCTCCTGCCTCAGCCTCCTGAGTAGCTGGGATTACAGGCACGCACCACCATGCCCAGCTATTTTTTTGTATTTTTAGTAGAGATGGGGTTTCACCATGTTGACCAGGATGGTCTCGATCTCTCGACCTCGTGATCCACCCGCCTCGGCCTCCCAAAGTGCTGGGATTACAGGCTTGAGCCACCGCGCCCGGCGAGAAAAGAGTTTTTTTCCTCTCTTTATTTCTGTTTGTGTTTTACTTTGGGTACTTTCTTTTGACCTGTCTTCCTCTTCCCTGATTCTTTTCCTAGTTGTGTTGAATCTAATGATGAGCTTTTAGTGACCATTATCTACTTCAGCATCTTTTATGTTTTTAATTTCTAGCATTTCTGTTTGCCTATTTCTTATAGCTTCCTTCTTTCTGCTGAAATGTCCCATCTGTTCATGCATGTTTTCCACCTTTTCTACTAGACTTTAACATATTAATCATAGTTGTTTTAAATCTCTGATAATTTGAAAATCTGGGTCATCTCTCAATCTGATTGTGGGGTGTGTGTGTGTGTGTGTGTGTGTGTGTGTGTGTGTGTGTTTGACTGAATGCTGGATCTCACATGTAAAATAGTAGGCTGAGACCAAAATGGATTTATGCTTGGAAATGGATATGTCTCTTGGGTTTAGTCAGTTTAACCAGGAGCTGAGCTAGTTTTGGGTTTGTTGTTACCGTAATTGCCTTCAGTGTACTACTGGCTTCAATTTCTTTAATTCTGTGCCTAGAGTGGTGACTGAGGAGGCCCTGGAAGGTTTTTCTTTAATGTACTTTCTCTACCCTTTCAGTCTTCCCTGTGTATTGGTACCTCAGAGGGGTCCTACTCTATGCTCTTTTCCCTCTTTTATCAGAATAGTGCTAGTCAGGTGGCGGGCAGAGTTTTTTCTTTTTTTAGACGGAATTTCACTCTTGTTACCCAGGCTGGAGTGCAATGGCGCGATCTTGGCTTACGGCAATCACCGCCTCCTGGGTTCAAGCAATTCTCCTGCCTCAGCCTCCTGAGTAGCTGGGATTACAGGCACGTGCCACCATGCCCAGCTAATTTTTTTTTATATTTTTAGTAGAGATGGGGTTTCACCATGTTGACCAGGATGGTCTCGATCTCTTGACCTCGTGATCCACCCGCCTCGGCCTCCCAAAATGCTGGGATTACAGGCGTGAGCCACCGTGCCCGGCCCAGAGTTTGTTTTAATGATACTGGTATAGATCCTGGATGAGGAATTTTTCTTGCTCCTCTCTCAGGTTTATAGGGTATTTTTCTATTACTCTTTCCCTAGCTACAGCCAGTCTTCTCATGTGCTCTTGGGCAGACAGGGTTTGGTACTTGCAGAGGGAGGGGTTCATGCTTTTCCCTTAATAGTGGTGGCCTTCTCCAGGTCTGTACCACTGAGGGAGGCTCTGTCTGGTCCCTCACCCTGGCTCCAGTCTTTGTTGTAAGTATGCAGTAGACATCTGTGAAGACAGTCCTGCAAGTGAATGTGAATTCCCTTTGTGTCTGTGGATTTGAGGGACCCCATAGTCTCATGCTAACCTTCGCTTAACCTTTAACACATCACTAAAATTTTTACTTTAATTTTTCTTAACTGCTTGTAGGGCACCCAGTATCTCTTCTTCACATGCTCTGACACAGGAGAGCTGGTGTTCACCTCTCATATCTCCTGGAGGGACTTGTCTTTCTTCGGAGTTCATACTACTAGGTAGCTTTCCAATGAATTCAAGTTAGTTTGTAGTTGATGTGGCTGTTTCTTATTGTTAGGGTGGGAATGACATTGCTTTTGGTGTTCTACAGCCTAAGTGGAAGATGAAAACTTGCTTCCTTTATATGTTCCTTTTTATGTTTAATTTGTGTGTTGGGGAGGGGGCAGACCACAACTCATTTTAAAAAGTACTGAGAATTTGAGATCTAATTATATCTATATAAATATTTACTCCAGGCTAGCCGTGGTGGCTCATGCCTGTAATCCCAGCACTTTGGGAGGCCAAGGCAGGTGGCTAACCTGAGGTCAGGAGTTTCAGACCAGCCTGGCCAACATGGCGAAACCTCACCTCTACTAAAAATACAAAAATTAGCCGGGGATGATGGTGTGCGCCTGTAATCCCAGCTACTCTGGAGGCTGAGGCATGAGAATCACTTGAACCTGGGAGGTGGAGGTTGCAGTGCGCAGACTTTGCACCACTGCCCTCCAGCCTGGATAATAGAATGAGACTCTGTCTTAAAAAAAAAAAAAAGATGCTATCATTGCTTACAAAAGAGTCTTGACCTTGAAAAAGCTTATGTTGAGAAATAAAGTTCATATTTTGTTTTTATCCTTGAATTAGATTTTCCAGAAACTCATATGTATTTTTTGAATGGGCTAACAAATGCATATGTACAAAATCAAATTGGTCCAAAGGGATATACAGTAAAAATAATTATCCCAACCCCTACACCCTTAGCCAGAAAATTCTCCTTCCTGGAGTAACCAATTGCCAATTTCTGGAGTAGTCTTTCTGAGTTAATAAACTTTTAATTATTATGTATCAAAAGTAGGGAGGATTTAGTAATTTTTCGAAAATAAAATAGTGTCTTAAAAACTTTCCTTCTCTTGGAACAAGTTAATGTTACAGGGATCA